TGTGTGTGTGTGTGTGTGTCTGTGTGTGACTTACTGTTTTCATAGAGTTACAGATGGAGCTCTGTCAGGCCCGGCCGGCAGCATCAAGGTCAGTGGGAGCAGGTCAGCAGGGAGCGAGGTGAGCAAATGAGCGTGGCGATGAAAAGCAAAGAAGGAGGCTTGTTTGGGACGAAACGAGCTTTGACTTAGCGAGCTGCCGTGTGTGTGTTTTCCTACAGAGCTTATTTTCTTCATGTCACACCCTTGCACGCTGACTTCAAACATTTCCTTCCCACCTCAGCCACCCCCGCCCTCGTCTCTCTTTACCTGAATTCATCTCTCACGTTTCAGGTTTATTTTGTTAGCGTCTCGTGCAGTGGTTTAAGTACATGTTGCTGCTCCGCGTGCTGAGCATGAACTATAATTAGCGGGGCAGGTTTCAGGTAAACAAGCCAGAATATAGGTCGGATATTCGACGCTGCAAAACACTGCTACTGCGTTCTCTGCACCAGTAAATGTCCATCAACGTCCTGCAATGCATTTGTGCAAGACTGCTAACTTTAATGGGCTTCCCTGATTCGAGGATGCCATCTCTGGTATTTCCCCTGTTAAAGTCACGACAGCTGCTGTGTCACACGTGCATGTGTGTCGACGTTAACGTGCCTTCCTGTATACTTTTTGTATAATTATCACCTGGAGGAGCAATAAACAGCCTCCCCACCCCTGTGTCTGTGTTCTCTGCTCTAACAAAGAGTGACAGTATGTAGGCCAACTTACATCCATGTCAGTACTTGAACGTTGTGTTATAGCTTCACGTGTAAAATTTAAAACACTGTGTATGAGTGGGCGGACAACGCCTGCACATCTGGTTTTTACTTTATGCTTTCTGTGCCTGAACCTGCTGCCTGTTTGTGCTGGCTTTTTCTCTGCACAAACATTCTTGCATTATTTCTGTTTGTTGCATTGACTTAATTTTGGATGAGAATGTTGCCTTCTCATCCCCTCCCCTGATGGAAAACAGGTTGGGTGAAGTTATAAAGAATAAATTACAAGGAGGCAGGAAAACAAAACCACAGTGCTGAGAGAATCTGACAATATGCACCAGGCAACATCAACATGTGACACTGATTGGAAACTTTTTTACAATATAGTGCATGCAGTATATTTAAGTCTTCATTCATCCAACAGAGCCACATTGGCACTCAGAAGAACGTATATCTTCACCAAGGCACAACATTACAATCGATTTATTTGTCATAAAACATAGTTAGCAGAAATATTCCTGTAAGTGTCCCTTAATCAGAATCAAAATTTAAGTTTTCCAAAGACCAGGCTCCACCCCACAAACTTGTGTGGTGGAATTTGGTTTCGTAGTTTTTACATAATGCTGAAAACCAAACGACCAACCAGCCGAACCATCCATCCATGCAACCAATCAACCAACCAATCAACCAACCAATCAATCAATCAATCAATCAATCAAACAAACAGGTGAGTGGTTTTACACTGATTTCATCTAGAGCTGTAACAACCTACAATCTAATTATAAAAGAGACACGTTGGTCAATCTTTTCTGCATCACACATCTAAGAGAGATGATTTTCCCTCTCTTCTCATGTAAATTAATATTAGATGCCAAGGTCACATTTTGTTGTCTCTCACCTACATGGGCTTGTCAAGAGAGATCCTTTTGCAGAAGTTTCCCTAAAGACACAGGAGAGGCATCGTTTTCAGTCTGGACTTTGAAGTGAGGACAGAAAAGTGAACAAAAGGAGATTTATTCTTACTGTCCTGGCTCCCGTCTCTAGTCTCCTACATTCATGAACTCAAACACACACACACACACACACACACACACACACACACACACACACACACACACACACATACACACACACACACTGACAGACAATGGAGACTGCAGAGATGTGAGAGGAAGAGGCTCGAAATCCAGGTCAGGCATTGATGCTGACTGTGAACACATGAGGACATTTGATCTGCTGCCAGGACTTCTGTTCTTTTCACATCACTTCTACTGTCTCACTCACACACCTACAGAGAAAAGTTATGAGTGTTTGTGGCTTCGGGGGGGAGGTGCGTACACATGGTATTTCTTGGTTCTTAAGCGACTGTTCACAGTAACTCAGTTGTCACCGAGAGGCTGCCATGTTTTTGGTACAGTGGTGCTTGTACAGAAAAAAATCCCAAACCCCTCCCAGCTGCAGCTACAGTTAACATGCAGGACTAACTGACTCAAGAGCTCTTCTCCCTGCCGCCATCGACCTCTTCAATTCTTATATGATTTGAATATATTTTCCCTGATGGGCTTTTCATTAATATCTGTGTTTTAATGCTGATTATGCTTGTAATGCAATTCATTTATCTTCTACTGCTTTTGGATTTTAGTGTGCACTCATTTTTATTTTATTAATTTATAGTCACTTTGATTCTGTCATATGCTGGCAACAGGTCACTCCAACTCTTCTCCAATGTCTAGGATAGGACCCTCGAAGGAAAAGTGGTATCTAAAATGGATGAATGTATGAATGCTACTCACTGCACAACAAATTGTGCTTCGTAGATAATAAGGGTGTCCTTCCACCTTGATCCTGGTGCTCAGTGATTATGTCCAGGCTGCACCACAGACGTGCTGGGTCAACAAACTGAAAGAGCACAATAAATTGTTTTAAATTGGATAAAGAAAGGGAAGAGAGATGATTAGATGTTTGCTTCGGGGAACCTGGGTCACTGCAGCAGCAAACATTAGTGATTCATCAATCCATAAATCCATAAATGTATTTTCTGTTGTCACCTGGATGGTTTGCGCTCTGTTTCAGGACATGACTAAAGCAAAGTGGAAGAACGACTGAAGGATAAAATGAAATGAGGGCAGGCATACCACATGAGGTCCTGTTACTCTGATCCACAGTGCACACCATCACTCTGGGGACAACAGTGGAATTGCTTTGGTGTGTTGTCTTTTAACAACATGTCTACATGACTATTTACAGTTAATTGAGACAAAAAAACAAATCCTCCCTTCTGTATTTACATCGGTGTAACTCACCTGTATGTCTACACTTAATTATACAGCAAGTCAGAACACTCATCTCTTCCTCTCTCCATCACTGGAGTTTCTGTCGCTCCCCAAGCACACCCCTCTGATGCAGTTGCTAGGCAACCCCTGCTCTGTCTCTGCCCCCCTCCATCTCTCTCGGTGCAGAAAGTGCATCTTTACAGAGAGTGAGTGATGTAAGTGGACTGTAACTGATTCAGAATTGTGCACATCTCAATGAGCTGTCATGCACCATGTTATGCTGAGTTTAATTGCACCTTTTTCCCACTGACCTCATGCTGTCTGCAGATGGTTATCGCTCCTACGATTTCCAAGAGGGAGGTGTAATTTGAGTCACTTCAGAGGCTGCAGACCTTTGAAAAGTGCACATGCTTTTGAGCAGCAAATTGTGGAATGTGAACTACCTTCATGTAAATATGAGTTGGATTGATCCAGATACTCCAATAATTTCACCAGGGGTAAAACTTTCTACTCTGCCAGGTATTCTCTTTTTATGTCATTATATACATGCAGCTAGAATTTAAAGTCATAGAGGATTAAAGTATTTTGTTCACCCTGATGGTAAAAAATAGGAAGGAAAATACCCTCTGCTGCCACTTTATTAGATATATATACCATAGTCTAATGTCCAAATGTTTTTAAAGATAATCTTTGACTGTGAATTTACATTTTAAAGACACATTTTAATAAATGTGCTTTCTCCTAGTTCTGATCTTACAAACTGTTTTAATCATTTTATAATGTTTTATTTTATCATCTCTTTACTCTTTTCTCATCTGTAACAAGTTGTATCTTTTAATTTTTAAAGGATAAAGTTCATTAGCATTATTATTAGTATCAATAATTATCACGTGTACTTAACAACTGAGTGAATTCGTGTGAATGAATGTGAGTCTGGTAGTTCTGCTGTCCTGTGTTTTCTTATGTGTTTGTTTATAGGTCAAATGTCATCCTCCATAAATCAGGAGAGGCATAATAAGAAACTGGCTCTGGCCACGCGCTCATCTCCATCAGGTGCACAACTGTGTGTGTGTGTAAAGTCAGGGGGAGTGACACAGAAGACTTCCTGTGATGGTCTTTCACACTAAAACTTTGGAAAAACGTGTTTCTGTTTACTCACATTTGAACGTGTGACAACACGGAAAAATAATGAATTTAGTGTAAAAGAACTTTCCCGTGTGTTTTACAGCACAAGATGTTGATTCGAGACCGTGCTTGGAATGCTATGTCGCGCCACAAATATTCCGTACTTTTATTTTGAAATTGGACTCCTCGCCTCTCCGGTGCGTGCTGCGGCAATTGACGCAGAGGTCCGCCTGCAGCATCCGAGACATAACGGGCCAAAGCCAGTGTATTTATCCCGGGTTATATCTGCGGAAGATGGTGGCTAAACAGAGGATCCGCATGGCCAACGAGAAACACAGCAAGAACATCACGCAGAGAGGAAACGTGGCCAAGACGCTGGTGAGACGTTCACTGACCGCGACACGCCGGCGCCACATTAGCCCGGATAGGTGACGTTGTGTCCGCGGTGATCACAGCAGCATGGCGGTGCTGATGGTGCTGATGGTGCTGATGGTGCTGGTGGTGGTGGTGGTGGTGGTAGTGGTGTCAGTTGGCCTCAGACGTTAGGGTTAGCACACATGTGTAGCACGGTTCGACCCAGGACCTGCACCTCACCGCGCTGCTCTGGGTGATTGACGTGAGGAGCCGGCGGGCTGGGTCCACATCTGAATGTAATCTGTTCGTTACCGTGTAACTACACGTTACTTCTCCGAGCGCCATCATTCCATCAGGGTTATAGATGACAGCAGCTCTCATTCATTCATCAAATACTAAAAACTGGCGAAGATGAAGATGAAGAGGTGTTCAGGTGAAATGATTCATGGAATATTCCACTAATTGATGTGGCAATTTAATGTACCTGAAAGTAAAATCCAAATGTTAGATGAACAACACCATCAAATGGAGACATCGCAAATAAAACTGACCAAAACTGAACTATATACAGATAACTGTGGCCTCTACTGGAGCATATAGCATTGTTTCATGAACCTAGGATTGGAAGGATGTGGTATGGATCAGGAAGTAACCCATTCAATTTTGGTGTGGATCCAAAACAGGAGGCTGATCCAAGAATTGTTTTTTTAAACTTTCAACACTGAGATGGAGGTTTTTCATCATTTTCCCAGAGAATAATTCATTCAAAAATCTGTCTTATTAAGGGAACTGATGAGTGAAATCTGGGGCAGCTTCATTGCATTAAAGGGAACAGTTTGGCCTTTGCAGAGGTATGTGCTCCACCGAGCGCCATTGTAGTCTTTCATGTCAACAGTTGAAAGGCATAGTTCACCCAAAAAATAATGAATTATGTACTCACCAATATGCCGATGGAGGGGTGGTTGGAGTGTTTGAGTCCACAAAACACTTTAGGAGTTTGTCTGCTTTGATCCACAGGCGAACACGGCTCCGCGAGGAGGATAACAGTGAACATTTAGGCTAACACATGGTGTAAATGACGCCGCTTCGAGCTGAATTTGAATGTCGGGGCCTTCGGACACTTGGATGACACCACAGGAGCAGAATGCAAATTTTCTTGTTGTTGTTTTTTGAACTTTGAAGAAGGAGTCACCAGTTCCTTCAATTGTGTTGAATTTGGCTGCAACGCTCTTTTGCTCCTGATATTCCTGAAGTGTTTTGTGGACTCAAACACTTCACCCACCATCGCAGTAGTGGTGAGTAGATAATGAGTGAATTTTTTTGGGTGAACTATCCCTTTAAGTACTTGCTCCCATATTAATTCCAAAGTCATGGTTGTGTGATAAAGTCAGAAGCTCCAGTGCAGAGGACATGTATGGCTGTTAAACGAGAACCATCAAGTTTTCAATAACGTTTTGACCGCCCATCCTCTCTGCTATAACATTTCTTCACACACGAAAAATAAAAAGTATTACCAATATAAAAAAAAATACTTACTAAAAAATATTGACTTGCTACATTGTTGTCTTAAGCAGGACCTTTCTCATTGTAATTCGATTTAGTGTGAGGGACCCACAGGAGAAGATTCAAATTCACTTTGGACATAGAATGGTGTTGTGGGCTTCACACACACAGGTTGTGTTGAACACAGGTTTACCCTCCTCCTCTTCCTCTGTCACCATAAAAGAAGGTTAAACAGAATCTCACAGGTTAAATATGGAGGCTGCTCAGGCTCCGGTTTCACTCACATGAGTTATTGTACAAGAAAAAAGACCACTTCTTCCACAGATCATCTGCGTATCACAGACTGTGACAGCCTCCCACACCACTGGCGTAATGGTATCACCTTGTGGGATTGATGGCTGCTCCCTGAATTTGTCTAGACTGACTGACTCGTGCTGTTCCGCTCATCTTTTCTACTTGATGTGAAAACTGGATTTGCACCTTTCACTGGATAATTACACTGAGGTTGGTTTTTTTTCAGTGTGACCACACAGTTGTTATTGTGGCCATTTTGATGTTCAGCACCATCATCATCTTACTTTTAAAAATCAAGATGATTGGTGATTGTAGAGCAAGTGATAAAACTAAAATATGAGCCGCAACCAGCTGACCAGTGGTGGGAATGGGAAACCACTTTGTGAATCTACCTATAGACGTTGTATTTTTGTTCTGCAGCATTCAATGTACAGTGTTGTTATTTTCCCCACTTAGAAACTTCCTCATACCCAATAAAGGACACATAACACTATAGTATAGTGACAACACCTTTCCTTCAGTGAGTTCGTTTTGCAATATCAGTAAGAGTCTATCTGAGATAAATCAATTTGCACAGGAAGACCTCTCCTCCATTCACTTCCAAGAATTGCCCAGTGCAGTCTTCATCTGTGTTGCAAAGTGCAGACCGTGGTGGCGTCCCACAGGTGGTTTAGTGAATGTACTGTGTTGTGCCGCTGTCAGTCTCTTTACCAGCCCCATCTCTGTACCTGTCATTCAGGCGGCACATATAGTGTCATATATAGTATAACCCCTCCCCCGAAACTCCAGCAGACCTGAGTGTACACACTACACTAGACTGGACCACACCATTCTGTTGCAGCAGTAATGCTAATTTACTGTGTGTGTGTGTGTGTGTGTGTGTGCGTCTGTGTGTGTGTGTTTCCCATAGCGACCACAAGAGGAAAAGTATCCTGTGGGCCCCTGGTTGCTCGCCCTCTTTGTATTTGTTGTGTGTGGATCAGGTACGTTCCCCTTACATCTGGAGGAGAAAGTGTTTTTGCCTTTGTTTGTGGTGAACAATCAAACTAATGATTTTTTAAAGGTGTTTCTTTATTTCTTTTACTTGAATTCACCACCATTTGTTTTGTTCACATTTAGTTTTTCATTGACTTACTATAATGTGTTGTCCTGTGTTGTATTTTGGTTTATATCAACTGAAAAATGTAAAAATCTTTATTTTTCCAAGCGCAATATTGCTACTATGGTTGAGAGTAGTTGTAGTGATGGTGATTGATTGCATTTACAAATGGGGCAGTAAGCTGATGTAGTTCCTTTTTGTTTTCCAAGATTTAATATGTAACAATTATTCATTATGTTGTCTAAAAACAAATAGACATGTTATATATTTTCTTTTTTTATGTACTTAAACTATCAAAACTGAATATATGTCACTGACAGCCGATAACATTAATTAGTGCGGAAAAACATACAAGGGATATTCTCCATCTTGTCCTATGTTCTAAAATGGGACAGTGTTAAGTTTAAAAAGGGTAAAGAGGTAATGATGTCTGATCAGGTGCACAACTGAAGTTATGTCCCGAACATCCGCTGGTGGCCGCTAACACCTGCTAACATCTAATGGTATTTGGTAACTTAAATTGTGCAGAAGACCTTCAAACGTACAAGGGATATGCAACACCTTGTCCTATATTCTAAAATGATCCAAAGTGGTCAAAACAAATCCCAATTCTATTCAAAGTTGCAGGACGTTTAATTTTGGTCGCTAAAGCTATGGGTAATTGCATATACCCATAGCTTTGCCCGTCTTGTATTGTATGAGGAAGAAAATATACGTGAGGCAGTCGGCTGTTTCCGCGTTCCACTATTTGTATTGGTTACTCATAATGGATCAGGATTATTCTCTGCTGTTTCCTCCGTAACATGAGTAAAACTTAAATACATTACCTCATCCGAGAACATCATTTGTGCCTGAGTTGCTTCAGGGTGATTTTCATCGGCAATGGTGGCGAAGACAACAACTCCCATGAGTCCACGCTGCTTCATGATGTTACTAACCATTATTGTTTTGACTGAGAGACCACTAGCAGCCAATGTTATAGATGAAATGTCTATCAATTTCTTTATTGTATTTGGAAAGGAAAGAAGAGATATACTCCTCCTATATGTAATTAATATACAGTATTTTTAAATTAGTGTTCTGCAGTTTTTCAAACATTTTAAAAATAATGTAGCCAGTGAGAAATGTCTTAAGTTACGATAACAAGCCAAAACAAATGGTCTCACAAATCCATCTGTTTGCTCTCAGCCATATTTCAGATCATTCAGAGCATTCGCATGGGGATGTGATTCAGAAGGAGCCTCCGGACCCCTGCCCCACCCCCCCAATTCCCTCACTGGCTAGCCCGTGCCTGCACACCTGCCGAACCCCCTCCAGAGGCCCACAGACTGACAGCAGAGCTTCAGACCCTCAGAGATCTCAGAGAGAGAAGCTTCCCTGACCACCACCTCCACCACCCTCCCTCCCTCCCTCCTCCCTGTGATCAGTGTTTACAGTGTTGAAGTCTGTGGTACTGACAGCTTTTCTATGGACAAGTCTAAAACCACAGCGGCTGGAGAACATGCACGTCTCATTACTCACTTGGCACCTGTGTTTGTGAAAGTGTGAGACTGTGTGACAATGTGCCATATCTGTCTGTGTTCGTCTGTGTTGAATCTTTTTTCAAATAAATGTCGAGCATTTAGCGAGCAGCCGGTTTTACTGTTGCTTCTGTAGACTCCCTGTGTTTATCAGTGCACAGTCCCACACACACTATGTGCTGAAGTTGGTGTAGTCTATGAGGAGACAACCCCCGACCTTTCCAAGGGGAAGCTCTAGGTTTGAGAAGCCAACTGCAGTGTGGTTTTAAATGGCTTTCTTAAGGCGTGCAAAAAAACAGCACCAACACAGAAAATACTGCAAATGAACAATTACTAGAAATATTTGATTTGAAGTGCTTCCAGGAAACATTGAGATGAACCATCTCCACCATCAAGACTCCATGTTGGAGCATTGCTTTATAAATGCTCTGTAAATAGGCAATGTTCAACTGGCACATTCAATTTCAGAAGAACATGCTGTTTGATAAAGTGACTGCTGACAGGTACGTCAGAGCTAATGTATGTTTCACTGACTGAGATAAAAGCAGAGGAATTCCTTTTAAATAACTAAGAGCTTTTAAATATGTAGTCATATGAAAACCTTATTGTTTTATTTCATACTTTTGAATTTGACCTGCTGTACATCAAAATGCTGGTTTAGCATATGGAATTAATTGGATGAGTAATGTAAGTACTGTCTGAATTTAACATATACAAATTGTGCCAAATTACAAGAAATTAGTAAGAATTTAAAATTGCGTATCAATTATCGTCTTTAAGGGTCACCGTGGTAACCTCACTCTAAAATCCACATAGCTGTGTCCTTTACTCTCCCTGCTCAGCAGTGTAGTAGACAGTCATTGACCCTTATTAAATAAAACCCTGAAACAAGAGTTCAGCTGCTGCAACACAAAAAAGCCAGCAGCATGACTCCACGTGACCAGAAAACAGCGTGTCAATGTCCACGGTCACACGACTGCACAGGGGAGACTTATAAAGATGGCGACCCCGGTGCTTATTCTTCCTTAAGCATGTTTATTGAAAGTTGTGATGTGCAGCTGTCAAGTGCAATTGCGGTATGTATGTTACAATATCTTATCCAGTCTTTGCAGAAACATGCACAGAACATGAGCATACAACTGATACACAGAATGAAAAAAGAAAAAAAAAACATCTTCAGAGTTTGTTGTTTTTTTGTTTTGTTTTTTTGAATGCTGAATTTAAAGATATTGTTAATCCAGAAGTACTTCACTGTCAAAACTTAAAAAATAAGAATAATAAAGGTGCAATACTCCAGAAAGAAAAAAAGTGAAAATGGTTTTACAGTCAGAGTTAGATTAGCAGTAAGGGATATGGACAGCGTTGGTGGCTGTTTTGTTGTCAGTTAAATAACCTAAACTCCCGTCGACCCCACAATCCTGAAAATACAGCAATAAAAATAGACGACACAGACTGGGCAAGACGTTCTTGTCCCTTGCTCACCCGCTTCAATCTGTGTGACCTAGATAGCATCTGTTATTTTTCTCCTCCTCCCCACTATTTTACATGGTACTTACACTATACAGAAATATACATCATCTTCTGCCCATCAAACTTTTAGGAAAAGAAAATGCAGCTTAGCCCAACGTCTCAACCCTGTGGAATAAGGTTTAAATTACATGCCACTGCAGGGTTGAGCAAACAGCAATGATGAGCTTTGTCCAGGGCAAAAATGAGAAGCTTGAAAATGAAATACTGAAAATAGAATATTCATCATCTCCATAAGAAACCAGGTTTTGTTCATCCCACCAAACCCACGTTTGAAGTAACGTCATCAATGCTGCCGAGTGTTGTTCAAAATAGCCTCCCGCCCCCTCCCGTAACCCTCCCCCAACTCCCCCATTCCAGATGGGGACTTTGTCAAGATAATAATTGCCAACATTCTTCACTTGTCACTCTGAAGGCTTTTTCTCTCAACTTGTAACTTTAGGATCTGGTCTCGAGAGAGAACCACTTTTATTATTTACATCATTCAGCAAAAAATGTAACAACCAACACGGTCCTCCAGCTCCTGCATCTCCAGCATCACTAAAACCGACATCACTTAAAATCCAGACACAGGCACAGTGATTTTTTTTAGTTAAGCATTATGTCGCCACTGATAAGTTGTTTTCTCTTGGTAAGACATTCTAGTCGATATGTCCAAGGTTTATTTGGCAAAAGTTCAATGATTCATCCTCTTGTGAGACAACCTCCTCAAACAGCATCTCCAGACTGTCACCCTCGCCGCTCGTGCTGCTAGCTGCATCCTTCTGAGAGATAAATATGTGCAAATTCTTGTCTTAACAGCTCAACCTCCTGCTGTCAAGGGTGAGGCTTGGCTCTGCTGCTCTAGCAGAGCACAAAAACCATCAGTCTGTCTTGTCTGTGCAGACCAGGCTACGCCGAGGGACCAGAGCTGTGCGAGGTGGGCTGGGCGAGGGCGGCGGTGCTCGGGGGTCCCGGTGTGGCAGAAGTCGGCGGGGCGGGCGGGGAGCCGGTCTGGACTTGAGCCTGGAACTGCGCCATCTGTTCCGGGCTGGCCAGTGTCTTCAGCAGGGTGTTCTCCTGCTCCAACTTGGAGTTTCGCTCGATCAGCTCCTTGATCTGCTCCTTTAGGACCTCCACCTCCTCACGCACAGCGTACATCAAGTGACTCTTCACCAGGTCCTGAGACACAGAGACATAAGGCTTTAGGACTGGAATCTATCAAAAGCTAACATCAATGAGAAAAAGAACAAAGAACTCATCCCATCTGCAACCAATGCTTTATGTTCCACATTTTACATGATGAGAGAAATAGATTACACATTCTACTAAACGAACGTAAATAAAAAACACTGGAAAAACAATGCTAAGAAATGTCCTCTGATTTTTATCAGCACATCATGTGACCCTGTGTGACCCTATGTGACCTTACTAGCATCGGGTGGAGGGAAAGGGCCGGGAAATGACACAAAATGGGTAAAAACTTTTTTATCTGTATTTTTTTTTAGGAACTTGACGTTTTCTTGAACGGCAATAAAAGTCACGTGCGATAGTGAGGGAATTCCCAACCTCTACCAAACTGAAAATGCTGCAGAACAGAATCACAGCTAATAAGTACAAAGTATTTTTGTCCTGAAACCACACAAGCAGTTTCCTTTATCAAACACATTCACTGTGGTGATGCTACAATAAACAATGACACAGAGGGAACGTGCGTGAGAACGTTCCCATGGTGCTACGTCATTAACCCAGCCCACATTAGAGTGTAAGCCAATCCGGGGCCCCATATATTTATAACTGGTGTGTGTGGTGCAGTTTGCCTAGCAACAGACACAACAGCAACAGAGTGAAACCAAAAGAACTGGAATAAAAAGCTGTTTGATTTGATGTCAAATAAAATGTTCGACTGCACAATTAGTATTAAAACACTACAAACACATATATTGTACTGATTATTATTCTTTAAGTTAATGGTATGAGGAAGCTACACTTATTTTGTTGAGGATGCTAGATTGAACATAAACAACTATGTCTACATGAACATAAACAACAATTATATCATACAGATCTACACATACACAACTACTGTTTATGTCCTGCACATTACTACACTTCCATAAAGCAAATACATGTACCAGAATGTATTAATCAACTCAAATACAATAAATAACAGACCCCTGATTTTTAGAGTCCTACATTTAAAACACACACATTTGAATTTCATCCTCAATATTTCCCACAGTGTCATTAACAACAGAAACAAGCTGACACTCACCATTGCTTGTTCAATCTTGTTGTCTATGGCCACAACGCTAGCGCCTGACGAACTGCAAGAGAAGAACAGAGGGATACAATCACACGTCTGAGTCTGGATCTGTGCTTTCAGGGAATACACAGGACAAGATGGAGAACCGCAGTCTAAGAAGCTAACAGCATCTGTCCCTCCGCACGGCCGCGGGCCGTTGCGGGAGGATTATACTGAGTCGACGGGCTGGTTTTTCAACGTAAGGCCCAAAGCGTTGGAGTCCGTGTGGGTGTAGTGACACTGGAGCATCCGTGGACGGAGCAGCGTCTCCATCACACAGCGGCGACACTACTGCTGTATGTGTGTGAATATATATATATATATATATGTGTGTGTGTGTGTGTGTGTGTGTGTAGCGGCTCAGTAACACATCTCTTTGTTACCTATTGTCGAGTCGGACGTGCGAGCTCTCTGCGCTCAGCAGCGACGACAGAAACGAGATGGAGAAATTTCGGAGCTGGCAGACGCCTAGGTCCATGGCCACGGTGTAGCACGGCGGATTCATGCTGTTCATGGTTTACGATCCGGTATCGATCAACAACACCGACAGCCTCCGTGTGTCCCGACTCGACCTCCGCGCGATCGCCTCCGAGAGACACATCCACGCGCACTATTCCGCCTTGTGTCCGGTGAGGGCTCGCGCAGCCACCGCAGAGGTTACCCGCACGATCCAAGGTCGGTTCATCTCGGAGCGACGCACACAAGAACCCGCAGCCCCGGGACCAAGCCCGCATAATTTATCCAGTGACGCGCACACGGCTCGGCCCCTGATTGGCGGAGAGGGCGCTCGTTTGCATGGTCTATGCGGGAACGCCCCCACCTGGCGCTCAGCTGACACGTGTTTTACATAAATTATTCTGGGAGGGGAGGAGAGGTGGATGAAACCGGGGAGAACCGGATGGGAGATGAAGAAGAAAGAGCTGGAGGAGTGAAAAACAGGCAGGGGAAGGGCAACAGTCAGGACTGTGAAAATACAGCGACAAAAACACATTCATCAGGAACTGTGCTGCCAGGGACAATACTCACACTCTCACCCACCCACACCCACAGGAATTAAACCTGAAGACCAGG